ATAAAACTCTTAGAGGAAAACATAGGAAGAACACTCTTTGACATAAATCACAGCAAGATCCTTTTTGACCCACCTCCTAGAGAAATGGAAATAAAAACAAAAATAAACCAATGGGACCTAATGAAACTTAAAAGCTTTTGCACAGGGGCTTCCCTGGTGGCACAGTGGTTGAGAGTCCGCCTGCCGATGCAGGGGACATGGGTTCGTGCCCCGTTCCAGGAAGATCCCACATGCCGCGGAGCGGCTAGGACCGTGAGCTCTGGGCCTGCGCGTCCAGAGCCTGTGCTCTGCAACGGGAGAGGCCACAACAGTGAGAGGCCCGCATACTGCAAAAAAAAAAAAAAAAAAAAAAAAGCTTTTGCACAGCAAAGGAAACCATAAACAAGATGAAAAGACAACCCCCAGAATGGGAAAAAATATTTGCAAATGAAGCAACTGACAAAGGATTAATCTCCAAAATTTACAAGCAGCTCATGCAGCTCAGTGTCAAAAAAACAAACAACCCAGTTCAAAAATGGGCAGAAGACCTAAACAGATATACCCTGAGAAAACCATAATTCAAAAAAAGTCATGTACCACAATGTTCACTGCAGCTCTATTTACAATAGCCAGGACATGGAAGCAACCTAAGTGTCCGTCAACAGATGAATGGATAAAGAAGATGTGGCACACACATACAATGGAATATTACTCAGCCATAAGAAGAACGAAATTGAGTTATTTGTAGTGAGGTGGATGGACCCAGAGTATGTCATACAGAGTGAAGCAAGTCAGAAAGAGAAAAACAAATACCATATGCTAACACATATACACAGAATCTTAAAAAAAAAAATAAAAAGGTTCTGAAGAACCTAGGGGCAGGACAGGAATAAAGACGCAGACGTAGAGAAGGGACTTGAGGACACAGAGAGGGGGAAGGGTAAGCTGGGACGAAGTGAGAGAGTGGCATGGACATATATACACTACCAAATGTAAAATAGATAGCTAGTGGGAAGCAGCCGCATAGCACAGGGAGATGAGCTCGGTGGTCTGTGACCACCTAGAGGGGTGGGATTGGGAGGGTGGGACGGAGACGCAAGAGGGAGAAGATATGGGGATATATGTATATGTATAGCTGATTCACTCTGGTATAAAGCAGAAACTAACACACCATTGTAAAGCAATTATATTCCAATAAAGATGTTTAAAAAAAACACAAAAAACTGAACATCTTAGTACTTCCCTGGTGGTACAGTGGTTAAGAATCCACCTGCCAATGCCGGGGACACAGGTTTGAGCCCTGGTCCGGGAAGATCCCACATGCCGTGGAGCAACTAAGCCCGTGCACCACAACTACTGAAGCCCGCGCACCTAGAGCCTGTCTTCTGCAACAAGAGAAGCCACTGCAACGAGAAGCCCGTGCATCGCAATGAAGAGTAGCCCCCGCTCACCACAACTAGAGGAAGCCCGCGCGCAGCAACAAAGACCCAACGCAGCCAAAAATAAATTAATTAAAAAAAATTTTTTTAAATAAACAAATAAAACTGAACATCTTGATTACATAATCTCTAAGTCATTCTTGTTGAATGAACTACACTGAAGTTTCTCAATCACTTAAAAATTAATGTTCCTGACAATAACAAAAGTTTTATACTCTTCTTACAGTTGGCATTATAATACTGAATATCCTTTTAAAAGCTATGCAGGTGCCTTCACCCATTTTGATACAATCCCATGGAAAAAATTCACTAAACATTCAAATAACATATGTGGTAAGTTACAGTCAATCTCTGTTAATCAAAGATTACTATATGACTCATCACTGTAATTACGTTAATATTAACGACTCATTTACGCTATGACAACCTTAACAAAGGCTGTTACCGTGAACTGAAATGTCACTTAATGTTAAAAAGAGTCTTTAAAGTGGATGTGATGGCTTTTTTTTTCTTTTTTTTCAATAGATCTTTATTGGAGTATAATTGCTTCACAATACCGTGTTAGTTTCTGTTGCACAACAAAGCGAATCAGCCATATGCGTACACTTGTCCCCATATCCCCTCCCTCTTGAGATGTGATAGCTTTATATCCTAATAAGTGGTTTAGAATATACAATATATTTGTATTTATTTTAGCAGTAGAAAGAAAGCAATGAAAAACATTCTAAAAATGACATTTGGAATGTATCTTCTACACCTGACAGGTAGATATAGTGCCAATGTCACTCTGTATATGAATTAGATAGAGGTCAGAGCTTTAATACTAAGCAAAGGTGCCAGCTTTGACTGACCTAAGAGAGATTTTCCTTTTGCCTCAGAAATGATGGTATGTGGTAGTATAACAAGAGTGACCCTTATAATGGAATTTAAGAAAAAACAACTATAATATACAAATGTGGACTCACTAGGTCAAAGGAAATATAGATTATACCCCAAATGGGGTCTGAAAAGGCATGACCAGAGAAATTGAAAGAAGTGGTAGCTCCATGAAGACAGGAATTTTATTTATTTGGTTCACCAAGAGTAGGTATCTCAGGCATAAAGCAGGCATTAAAAAAATATTATTTTTGTTGACAGAAGACAAACCTTAGATAACTGTGGAAGGACATTGTCATGGCTAAGTACTAACACTCTTCCCTAGCTTTCTTCCCTTTCCCATTCCAACAGAAAAGTTTTACTGCCCACTGTAACAATTCAGACAATACATGCTCACTGTGACAATTCCAACAATTCAAAAAAGATTTCATAAAGAGGAAAATTAGGATAACATCACTCTAGAGCCTACCATCAAAAAATAACAACTTAAAGTACTGAACTAATCCTTATTTTGGGACAAGTGTTTCTGACCTTTTCCTATCCTAAGCAATAGGGAGAAACACTATTGCATATACATCTTTGGCCACTTGTCTTACTATGATAAATTCTTAGATACAAGACTGCTAGATCAAAGGATGTATCCTTTTATAGTGCTTTTGACACAAATTACCAAACTTCTCTCCAGAAAGGCTATAAATATACTTTTTTATAGCCTATGGAAGGCGTGCTCTTCCTTGTCCTCACTGCAACAAAAACTTACACAAGAGTAGAAACAGGTATACAGAAGCCTGACCCATAAGTGGAGAAAAAAGCATAGTCAGGGGCTACGGGAGAAGCATATTAATGAATAAGAGAGGCAAAGACAAGTAAGGCCTATCCTATTTTACTTCTCTATTTCCACTTGGCTCCAGAAGGTTGTATGTATTCCCATCTAAGAGCAGAAAAGACTGGAATAGAAGAGGACAAAGAAGGAGACTTCTACTTACTTGTCTCAATCAACAGACATCATAAAAATACCTCTCTTGGATTATCTTATGTTTGTCCCCACTTATCTTGCCTATCCTCTTTTTTAGTTTATTTTTCCCCTGACACATAACCAGAGGCTATAAAACGAAAGCCTGCGTGCATGCAGCTGAATTGTGACTTGCTTGACTAAATCCACACAGTGTAGCAATTTTTAATATCTGAATGTCTTTAGAAGGGGCACATACACTCCAGTTCATCAGTCTCTACCATTTATCTTCTTAAATTTCAGCATCCCACCCAGAGAGATGCCTGCTTGGTCCTGGAGGCACTTGCATTTGCTACCTTTCACATAAAATAACTGAAAGAAATTCAAATATCATAAAGCAGTGGTTTGGCAGATACCATCTGCGTCACTGAATAAGCCTGGAACTTAAGGCCAGTCTTAAAGAGTGTTTATTTCTTCCTAAACTCAGTATCAAGGGGAATCTTAAGCAACAAAGGAGGACACAGGTTATCAACTCTTAATTGCTACTTGACTTAACTTAGGCTTCCTTTTATTTTCAGAAAATCGTCACATTTCTCCTGACACTGCAGGTACTTCAAGACCCAGAACCCTTAGCCCTTTTAGCACTGCTAATAATGTGCAACAACACAGCACAGTGGTTCATTAAGAGCAAGGCTCCTACTCACAGACACAGAAAACAAACTTATGGTCACCAAAGGGGAAGTAGGGGGAGGGATAAATCAGGAGTATGGGATTGACAGATACACACTACTATATATAAAACAAACAGCAAGGACCTATTGTATAGCACAGAGAACTATATTCAGTATCTTGTAATAACCTAAAATGTGCATAACCAGATCACTTTGCTGGACACCTGAAACTAATGCAATATTATAAATCACCTTTACTTCAATTAAAAAAAAAAAGTAAGACTCTTAAAACAGACTATCTGATTCAACACCTGGACTGGCTAATTACTGGCTGTGTGACCTAAAGTAAGCTAACCTCTCTGTGCCTCAGTTACTTCATCTGTAAAATAAGGATAGTAGCAGTAGTTACAATAGTAAGAACAGTGCCTGGCACAAAGTACACATAATATGTATACATGTGTATACATATTTTATACACACAGAAAATACATACTGTGTGTGTGTATATATATGCTGTGTATATATATAATAAATATAGTATATATGATATACTTCAATAAAAAAGGTTTAAATACACACACACACACACACACACACACACACACACACACACACACAGGCAGTCCTTGCTTTGAATGGTAGTGTGAGGCCGTAAAAATGCCCATAAAAGCTGAAACTATGCAAAGCCATCTTAATAATCAATGGGAAAAATTATCATTGTTTCATGACCTTTAAAATTTTTTGTCAAAACACTAAAAACTCTCAGTTATAAAGGTATTGAGAAAAAACAGCAAAACTAATATTTATTAAGGACACTAAAACATTAGAAACATTTAAAAATGAAGTGTTTTATTTCTTTGAAAAACTTTTCAGGAGTCATTTGAACAGTGGTTGCCTTCTTCTCATCGTATGATTTAGGATACACAGTGAACATCTTTTCTATGTTTGGCAAACTGTTAACTTCCTCACTAAGTCTGGATAACTCAAGCGCCTGACAGCAAGGTATGTGACTGCCGAGGTCCTTTCAAAAGCTAAGAGTCTGATATTAAAGACAGAACAGTGAAGAAAGACATGAAGACTTACATTGTATTGATGATTAGCAACAGGTTTGTAATTGGTTGTCACAACTTTGTCTAGTTGCTGTGACAGCCTCACAGGTTTGGAAGATTCTTCTATTTGTAATCTGAAAAACAGAAGGCATTATTAACAAACTTACTTGTTTACTGGAGTGAAACCTGAAGAGTTATTCCTATAATTCTTCAAGACTAATACTTAATATATAAAGAAGATACATCAGTCTTAATACTTCAAAAACACACTGAATATGACAATAATGTAGAAACCAGACCATAAGCTAAACATGCAAACCATGTCATTTAATTCTACAACTTCCTTCTAAACCTATACTTTGCAGTCAAACTTTAAGTTTTAAAACAAAGAAGCTAATCAGCTTTAAATTTCTAGAGAAAAATTTGCATGTAAAAATGAATTATCTTAAGTTATATGGTCTAAAACTAATCAAGGTATTAATCCAAAACGTCTGTTCATTTGATGAGATTAAAGTATGATAAAAAGATGACACATCAGCACTCAGGATCTAGTGGCTAGTAGCTGCTTTAATGGACAGTGCATATAAATAACATTTCCATCATCACAGACATTTCTATTGGACAGCATTGGTTGTCCAACTGTAGGACTCCATCCATCTAAATTAAAATATAATTAAAAACATCACTTTTGGAAAAAGAGCCATAAAATAAACCTATGACACTAGGTATAGCATATTATAAATATATATATTCAAATAGCAATCTGAGGAGATTTTGTTTTGGACTAAATATTACCATACCCAGTGACTCACATTCAACCATTTACTTCTTATTTTAAAAATTAATTCTTTGGCATATGAGCACAGTAAATCTAAAAAATGTTTTAAGGGGGAAAATGGTGTAGCTTTCAAAATGACTTTTTTTTTTTTAATCAAAGTGACTATTTTTTAAAGGACAGAAGGTACCACTGTACCCTAGACTTCTCATCGGCAAGATATCAGGATACAAGAATATATTTAAAGTACTATAGAAAAAGAATTGCCAACCATGTCTAGCTAAACTATAATTGAAGAGTAAGAGTGAAATAAAAGTATTTTTGTACAAAAACAAAGTTTATCATTCACAGATCCTCACTGAGAGAACTACTCAAGGATTCATTTCAGCAAAAAGTAAAATGAACCCAAAAGGAACTAGTGAAATGCAATGGTCACAGCAAAGAAGCTGAGAACCATGTTAGAAAATTACCTACTTGATACAGACAAAAAAAAGAAGGTGGGTTTTTAAAGAAAATGGAACTTAACATGAAAGAATGGGAAGAAAGAGAGCAGAATGAATGCATTTAAGATTTCCATATGCTTTCTAAATTTTCTGCAATAAGCATCAATCACTTTCATAATCAGAAAAGGAAGTATACTTTCTTAAAGGAAAACGAAAAATCATTTCTTAGTTTGAAAGCCTTAAAAATGTTGGTCATTTAAAAATAATACATGTTGAACATCATATTACTTTATTTTAATGGGACTTTAAATTCTTTGGTTCAACAGGAACTAAAAATTTTCATTTAAAATTCCTTCAAAAGAGAAAAACAAATACTGTATGCTAACACATATATATGGAACCTAAAAAAAAAAAAAAAGGTTCTGAAGAACCTAGGGGCAGGACAGGAATAAAGATGCAGACTTAGAGAATGGACTTGAGGACACAGGGAGTGGGAATGGTAAGCTGGGGTGGGATAGGGAGGGTGGGAGGGAGACGCAAGAGGGAGGGGATACGGGGATACATGTATATGTACAGCTGATTCGCTTTGTTATAAAGCAGAAACTAACACACCATTGTAGAGCAATTATAGTCCAATAAAGACGTTAAAAAAATAAAATAAAATTCCTTCAAAGGCACAACTTGCAGTATAAAAGGTACCTGCTTTTATAACATTCTTATTATTTAATTACTTGGTTGGAGTTATTTCTCTGTTTATTTCTGCCTATTTTTCGGGATATAATACCAAATTCCTCAGAAGATATTAAATATCTACCAATTGCTTTTTTAATTTGAAAGCTATAAATACTACAGGTTTTATTTTTAACTATGATCCCCAAATTGAGTATAGCCATTTCTGTATTAAAATATAAATATTTTAATCCTTCCAATTATTCATAAACCCATATATATCCTTTAAATACATAAATTCATTATTTTATGAAGTGTAAAAAAAAGTACTTTAGAAATGTCTTTAGAAACTTACTGTATATGTTACCATAAATCATATGTAGTTTGTTACTTTGCTTTTCATGGGCCAAATATACTTTCTATGAACCAGGAAGAAGGCACTAGCTAGAGGTCTAGAAGGGAGATGTCCACCCAAAGATGGACTTGGGCTAACAATCCTTCAGTGGCCTCTTGACTGTTCTTGGGTGACACGTAAGCTCCTTTACATGACTGCATGTCCCTATGGGATCAAGTCCCTGATATCTCTCTAGCTTAATCCACTGTTCTCCCACATCTGCATCCCCATGGCTCCAGCTGTGCCATGACCAGACTTTAGAAGGAGCCTCTTACAGGCAATCATCCAGCAAATGATTACTGGGTGCCTCTCTCTGAAGAAAAGACTTGGTTAGTGGAAGACAAACATTAAACAAACGCTTATCTATAACTGATTATCTGCAGGACTGAAGAGGGACAGGGGGTTGATATTATGACAACTGACTGCGTGCTGCTACGAAGTAAAGATTAACTCCAGGATGTGCACTTGAGGGTAAGCTGGAGCAGGGCAATCCAAACTTGTAAGAGGTGAGGCGAAAAAGACTGGGCAGAAATCACTCCTCCAAGCTGAGAAGATGTCTCAAAGTGACTGAGAGATAAGCGTTTAGAGAGAAAAGAATGATTGAAGACAGATATAGGAATGTTTACAAAGAGGTAGAACTAAGCATGTGTAATTCCTTGAAAAAAGGGCGGAAAAAACCCCCCCATAACCAAGTGGCAACCTGTCTCTGAACACCTCTCTATGCTCTAACCTTAGCCCCATCCCCTTAATGCAATCAGTTCTCAGGGGTTTGGCCTCTCTAGATGGTAATCTACCTGTTATGCTGCCACTAAATTATCTTTCCTGATTCAATCACCTCACTCCACAATTTGATCTTATAAGGCATTCAAGGAGGGAGGCATGCGCTAGCTTCTTCCTTCTACATTAAATGATTGTTCCCATTACTTCACAATTTGAAAATTCCTTGGGGTTTCAGTTTGTTCAGGTAAGTGCATTTTTATAAACGGTAGCTTATTCTTGTCATGCTCTTACACTAGAATTTATTTTCAGCCACTGCATCCCGATTCAGGTTCATGTGGCATACTTTCCTTTCAATTCTAATACAAAAGTTCTAAAAGTCAATTTCATCATCCATAGAGTGTCATGACTCATGCCATTTTTATCCTCAAAGTATTTAATCTTTTAAATATATAAAGGAAAACACTGAATTAACTTTTAAAAAAATAAAAAGCTCACATTAAAATTTAACCTTTTTATTATACATTTAAAAAGTCAAGTCTAAGCGTTTTGTTTTAATTAAAAGAAGATATCTTTATGATTCAAAACTCAAAAGGTGGGACTTCCCTGGTGGGACAGGGGTTAAGAATCTGCCTGCCAATGCAGGGGACACGGGTTCGAGCCCTGGTCTGGGAAGATCCCACATGCCACAGAGCAACTAAGCCCGTGCACCACAACTACTGAGCCTGAGCTCTAGAGCCCGTGAGCCACAACGACTGAGCCAGCATGCCACAACTACTGAAGCCCACATGCCTAGAGCCCATGCTCTACAACAAGAGAAACCACAGCAATGAGAAGCCCACGCACCGCAACAAAGAGTAGCCCCCCCCGCTCACCCCAACTAGAGAAAGCCCACGCGCAGCACCGAAGACCCAATGCGGCCATAAATAAATAAGTAGATTAAAACAAAACAAAACACCTCAAAAGATTAATCTGTGGACTGAAAATATAACATATTCTTAAAGAACTAAATCTTAAAATACTTTAACTAACCTGAATAGTTTAAAATAATTTAGCAGGGTTCTTTACTTAACATTAAATAATTCATTTAACATTATCTCATGAAGCGTCAGAACAATTTGCAACTCCACTTCATCACTGAACAAAGCACCAAATTAAACATCACTGACCTCAACATGCCTTCAAAGTCAAAATGAGGTTTAAAACTAGGCTTGTACAAAATAATTTAATTTGGAAATATTTGGTTTGTACAGCTGAACAGCAAACTACACACAGAGGTTTTATGCTGGACTGGGAGGAAGCTAAAAGTTTTGCTGTCCCAACCATTTAAAAAACTGGGTCTTAACTTTTTCAGAAAATTTAAAAACATGGTGTTATTTTCAAGAAGTAATAGAAAAATATTACTATGTGATCATTTAGACACAGCTAGGCCCTGTTTTACAAACCATTAAAAAAAAATACGTGTTGCTAATTACTACCACCATTTCAGGACAATTTAGAATACACATTCACATTCTTAGAAGACTAGGACTCAATGAATTACCAGTCTTTCTAGAATTATTATTTAAAGAGTCAGTTTTATCTCTCATTTTTTCCCATCAAAGAAAAAGCTCAAGGGCTACGTGACCCAAGAGCTTAAACACTAATAAAACGACAACTATAACAAATAACAGACATTTAAAGCACTTACTATGTTGCTAGAAACTGTGTTAAAAGCTTTACCTACATCTTTTCAATCTTGCTTTTTCCTTATAGAAGGCAAAACAGAACTGGAACTCAGATCTTTTTTTTTAACCCAAAGGTTCAAGCAGTTAATCTATACAGTCCCTAAAAGGCCATATAATAGAATAACATCTCTAATTAAAAGCTTATTGAATTTAGATCAAAATAAGTAATTCTCTTATAATAACTATAAATGGAATATAACCTTTAAAAATTGTGAATCACTTTGTTGTACACCTGAAACTTACATAATATTGTATATCAATTATAGCTCAAAAAACACTTAATTCTCCTTGCTGCTCATCAACCTGCCTTCAACTAGCCTAATTCCACACACACACACACACACACACACACACACACACACACACACAGAGAGAGAGAAAGAAGAGCACATTCTCCTTTATAACACTG